GCGCCACGTGCTGCGGCTGCGCCATATGCTGCGCCACGTCTACTGCGCTACACGAATAAGCTAATTGGTTACAATATAAATGAAATGATCTGACTATAGAAGAGATCCAAGATTAGTATGTCAGTATGATTATGAGCAATAACTCTAGCAAATACTGCATATAGCAAGGATAGCTGTCCTGTATTATCTTTCTTGATCATTTCTCATATACTCAATTACACGTACTATTTTTTTCTTAATAGATCATGAAGAAGAAATCTCACACAAACAGAATAGATATTTATTTGAAGAACTAAGTCAAGATAATGATTCAGAAGACTCTTATTATCAGATAACTACTATTGATATGACTACTGTAACTGATATGACTACAGCTAATATAATAATTACTATAACTAATACTATCAATTTCATGATAACAAATCAAGATCAAAAAGAAAAAGATAATATAAGAAAAAAAGTAATAGATATTATGAAGCTATATGTAATTATTGTAAGAAAAAATAAGCAAGAGACAAATCAGTAATATTAAAAGCATATTTGATGAATAAATATACTCCATATCCTAATGCAAAATCATGATATTGGCATAACAAAGTTATTGAATATAGTTCAAGTTATATATATAACTCAAAAAATTAAGTTTTACCATTACTATTTTTTCAAATAATAATCAACTCTTATTATATATCCAATCATTCTTTACCAAATGCAATTATTCATTAATTTAATCAAAGAATATTAAAGGTATGAATAATGATTGGAATTCCTTTCAGTATTATTAAAAATCCATTTATTCAAGATATGTTCAAAGAATTTTAACCAGGATATCATCCATCATCTAGAACTAATTTATTAGGTTGACTTCTTGATGAAGAGTTATCATAGGTAAATCAAGTAATTAATAATGATTTAGATAAAATAGATTATCTAATTTTAGATAATAATATTATATTTAAATAAAATTTAATATATATATATATATTAATAATTTTTTATATTGATAATAAGCTTTAGATAGTTGAACTATACCAACAATAGAATCAATTTATAATTACATTATTATAATTGATATATAAAAAGAATATTTTTTCAATCTTTGAGATTATTTGGCACAATCTTATACTGATAATTTTTTAGTCAATGAAATATCAAATATTATTAAAAAAATTAGAATAAATAATTTTGCTACTATAATAATAGATACTGCTTCAAATTGCAATGTAACATGACATAAAATACAAGATACCTATTCTTATATTTGGAATATCTATTACACTATACATACTATTAATCTAATTATAACTAATTTAGTAAAATTAGAAAATCTGAAAAAATTGATTAGCAATTGTAAAAAAATCAACTATTTTTTCAAAACTTCATATGCTGGTCATTCATTAATTACTAAAGAGTTTATTGATATGAAAATTAAAGATGATGGATTAAAGATAGATAAAAACTTGGTAGAGATCTTTATTTATGATAACAGATTTAATACTTCATGCAAGATCTATATTTGATTAGATAAGTATTAGCCAATAAAATTTATATTAATTATATTAAAATCTTATATTATTATTTAATTATAAATTCTTGCTGAACATTGAGAGATAATTATTAATAAAGATGTTATTAATTTAATGACCAATGAAGATTTTTCTCAACTTATCAAATGATATACTTAATTTGGAAACCTATCAAAGAAGTTATTTATATTTTGAAAGCAAATAATATAACATTAGCCAATTATTTTATTTATTTAATAAAATTGATAGTTATAATTAATTACTTATCTGAAGTAAATACTTTCAAGATTTTAGTTATCTATATTTTTAATCATTGTTATCAAGAATTTTTGCATTCACTTTATATTCTGACTTATTATATTCATCTATAATATTATGATAAGCAATTTCTTATATTTAATTAAAATAAATTAATTTTAATAATACTAATTATTTTATTTACTTTAGGAAAAGGATTAAGAGATAATACTTTTCATAAAGCAGCTCTTATTTCTCTTGAGTTGTGGCAAAATTTGGAACATACTCAATCTGAAAGTAAAGAATTAATTGCCCAACTATATCATTTTGAAACTCAACTTTCACTCTTTAATCTTCCTTATGTTTTAAATATTGATATATTTAAAATTTAATAGAACTCAATCAAGACTTAGTCTTGACATCTGACTGAGCTTGCATATAGAATTTTTTTTATTAATCCTATTCAAGCTAGCTGTGAAAGAAACTTTTCTACTCTAAAATGAATTTTAAGAGAATGAAGAACTAGCTTGGATTTAAATAATCTAGAAGTAATTATCAAAATTAGATTATATTATATGACTAATATCCAACATGAGTTGAATTTTTCTAATAAAGAGTTGATAGATCTTGATCTTCAAGATGGATGTAATATCATGTCAATTAATAATATCATTAGTTATGATAAAGCAAATCAAATAAGGATTAGTGAAGAAAGTTTATTAGATAATAATAGTTCTAATTCTTTACTAATTGAGGAGATTGTTGATTTATGTACAGAATATTTTAGAGAAGGACATTCTGAAACTTTTGTAGCAACACAAATTCAAAATGTTCAAAATATTTCTTCTAGTAATTTAGATTATGATCTATCTGATATATTAAGTAGTTTTTTAGAATAGAAAAGATAAGAGAGAAATAATAATTTGTAAATAAACTTGCAAATATTAGAATATATTATACTTAATTCTTAATTCTGATATGCAATACACATCTTTAATATAATCACAATATATACATCATAATATTATATATTATATATACTATATACATCATATATATTATATATATCATATATATTATATACATCATATATGTCACATATATCATATACATCATATATGTTATATATATCATGTATATCATATATGTCATATATATTACATACATCTCTATATCACATTATCCTATATCAATATAGCTCAAAGATAGTATAAGCTCTATGTTATAGCTGTAGTATTATAGGTAGTGACTACTCTAAGAAATATCTGTAGCTTTATTGGTTACAATATCAATTAATTTATAATTTATTTATTTTGATATATTAAAAGAAAAGATATTAATAAGCAAATATTAATTATAATTTTAAATTCAAAAATATTTAACTCATATCTCAACTAAGATTACTAGTATTATTTATAATTTGCATGAGAAAGTTATTATATTCAATTAACAAAGATCATATTATATCTAGTAGTTAAGATCAAATACTTTAATTAATACTTCAATCAAAACTCTCACTCCAATCCCATCCTAATTCATTTTAATCTCAACTTCTAATATATTCTTCATTAATCTTCTATATAGAAGAAGAATTCCAATTTAACCCAGAATTATAATAGAAGAAGAGTCATTAGAAGAAGAAGTTCAACTTTCTATCCTTTTAGATTTATTTCTACTATAATTCTAAAGAAATCAAGAAGAAATGGCAAAATAAGTTATATAAACTTTAGTTTAAGCATTCATTTCACTTATTTAAGCAATGCAAAATCAATAAAATAGATAAGTTGAGTTATTAACAGTATCACTTTCTTTTTATAGTGATAGAATACATAAAGATCTTATAAACTAGATTGAAGAATTTAATTGCTTAACAAATATAAATAATATAATAAATGCAAGAAAGATAGAAATAATATCTGTCTATCTAAGAGAGATTGCATCAACTTGATACTAGCAAAGTAAACTTTCAAATGCTAATTGATCTACAATAACTTATTTTATCAAATCTTTATCACACAATTTAGAATAAATATTTAAGTCTTGATATAATAATAATAATTGAGATTGAGAATGCAAGAAGCAAATGAAGATATAACTTCATATATAAAGAATATTTATATATTACTTTGAAAAATTAATTTAACAAGTACATATTCTGCCATCTATTATATTAAGTAATTTAAGAAAGACTTAAAACTAGAAATTATCTTTCATGTAAACAAGTCTAATTTAGATATCTTAGAAGTAACAATTACAGAAGTGATTAGTATTAAGTCTAGCTATAGATAGACTTATCAGAACTCTCTTAACTCCATATTCTTTATGTCACAAAATCTTTACATCCTCTTTACTGCTCCAAATTTAGTAAATAACTTGAGTAAAGTCATAGCTGACCTTATAAAATAGGTAAAAAAGCTGTTAACTTAGAATAATTAAAGTTTCAATAATTATTTTAACCAAAACAAGACCTATTATAATTATGATAAAAATGATTATATAGTTTGTGATTATAAACTATCAAGAAAAAATGTAAATAAGTAATAATAATAGTATCTTAAATATTAAATATTTTAAATATAATAAAATAGAATATTATATTAATAGCTATACAGAAAGAAATATAAATACTAGATAACCAGTTAATCTTAGAACTAATATCATCACTACAGCTTTAGATAATAATCTTTTGTTATAATAATTATAATAGCTTCTGAGAGAATAGTCTACTACATTCTTATCTCCTAATATCTACTATATTCTTATCTTCTAATATTATTACTAATAATAATAATATTATATATTTAAACTAAAATTCATACCTAAGAAAGGTTAGAATATAAGTTAATCTCAAAAGTCTTCAATAATATTTTTACAATAATTGCTAACTGAAACTATAGAGAAAAATAAAAATCTAAAAAAAAGAATAGAAAAGTAGTAAATATAATTCACTGTGAAGGAAGAGTAGAAGATCAACTTATCAGAATAATAATTGATAGTAAATTTATTAGTAATATTATATCAGTCAGATTTTTAAAACAGATAAATAAGTAGATTGATAAGTCATCCAATATCAGTCTCATAGATATAAATAGAAAGCCTAAATAACTGCTAGGTAAAGTAGAAGAATTGAAAATAAAAATTAGAGATCTAAGTTAACAAATAGATATTCTAGTTATAGAAAAAGCAAAATATGATTTATTGCTTAGCAATTAATAAGCAAAATAGTTCAAAACTATTTTAAATTGAGATGAAGAACTTTTAAGTTTTGAAGTTAAAGAAGAATCTATAATTAATCCAGTTACCTGCATATAGCAAAGATCAATCATAAAGCTAATTAATCCTGCTCTTGATGATAAAGATGATGAGTTTGAATATGAAAAAGAATTAATTGACTAGCTCTTATATATAATATATAAAGAACAAAGTAAGCAACTTGTAATGAAGGTAAAAGTTCAAGAAAACTTTATAAAAATTAATAATAAAACTATTAAACAGAAAGAAAAAGAAAGGATTCAATAAGAAAGACTAAAAAATTATAATACTTGCATTCATAACAGAAGAGAATAAATATTCTTAATGTAAGACAGAATAGACTATATACTTACAAAAGCTTTAGTCATCTTCTAAAGACTTATGAATAAAATTTTTAAGAAATATATTGAAAAATTTATAGTTATATACTTGAATAATATAACTATATATTCTAAAACTTGAGAAGAATGTGATTCATATGCAAAAAGTTCTGGAAAAACTTTGATAAGCAAATCTAAGATTCTAGCCAGACAAATATGCTTTTAAGAAAAATTAGTTATTCTTTTTAGATTATATTATTAGTAAAAATGAAATTCATCCTGATCCAGCAAAGATAGAAAAAGTATAGAAATTCTTAGTACTTATTAATATTATATTATTAAAAGAATTTGTTAAACTTGCCTCTTATTATAGGAGATTTATTAAAGATTTTACCAAAATAGTAACTTTTCTATATAAATTATTCAAGAAAAATGAAGAGTTCAAATGGATAGAAAAGTAACAAATAACTTTTGAATTACTTAAGAGATATTTAATTTTATCTCTAATTATCACTTATTCAGATTTTTCAAAATCATTTATCCTTTTTACTAATATTTCTGGACTAGAATTAGAAGCTATATTAGTATAATATAATAGTAAAAAGAAAGAATACATAATTACTTATATTAGTAGAAGAGTAAGTAAGAAAGAAAGTAAATATATTATAACAGAACTAGAATATTTTGAAGTCATTTGAATAGTTAAATTATTCAAATCTTATCTATTATCAGATATTCTATTCATATTAATTACTAATTACTTAATACTTAAGTAATTAATTAATAAACCAAATTCTTCTAAAAGACTTGCATGTTGAATAATGATTTTACAAGAGTATAATTTTAAAGTTAAATATAAATCTGATAGAATCTATTCAAATATTAATCTACTTTCTAGAATATCATATATATTTACAAAAAAAAATAAAATATAAATTTGAATAATTACGTAAAATTATATAATTATCTCAATATACTAATAATATCTAATAAATTCTTAAAGAAAAAATAGAAATAGTTACTGGTAGAATTAAAAAAATATTTTATATAAAATAATAAATTATATAAAAGAAATAGACAGAATGTTAATTATCTATTATTAGTTATAAAATTAACTAAAATAGAGTCAGTTCTTTATAATAATCACTTAAATATTATCTGAACATTTTGAAATTAAAACTATCTATAATTAAATAATGAGAAACTATTATTAGTCTCAGATATATAAAGATATAGATATAATATCAAAGTCTATGATATTATAATCAATCACTTATTCATATAATATAATAGATATAATACAATATATAATATAGCTATAGCACATAGTGTAGTAATTACTAATCATTACTAAATCAGATAAATAAGTAATTTAT